GGGAAGGAATTTCTTCAAATGCTTTCTCGTTTCACATATGCTACCGAAGCTTCTCTGAAACTCACTTTTTCATAGGTATAGATTTAGTGCATGATTATGTCGATGACAGTCTAACCGCAAGTGCCAACAGGGGATCTCGCCTCCAGCATCTTAATGTACGGCGAAGAACACACTCCTGGATTGGCATACGGATATGTAGAGTATTTAAACGTAAAAAATGTCCCTTAGCTACCTTCCGAGATCCCTATGCTCGCTTTGACCAAGTTCATCTTGACTTGGTGGGAACTTTGCCGGATTCAAACAGAAGCCCCTAGTCACCTATATAGGTGGGTTGTTTCACATCATATTCATAAGCAGTTCTTATTACTATTTAAAAAGGCCGGCGCATTCGTCGAGCAATATGTAGCAAACTTTGATGTTCTTTCAACTATTATTGCAGACCGTGGGCACAAGTTTGAATCTGAACTTTCATGTTAACTTACGACTATCCTAGGAATCTCATGATTCCAAAAGACCGCCTACCATCCACAAGCTAACGGATGGGTATAGCGATTCCAGCGAACCGACACTCTTCTTCACATGCAGGGCAAGCTGACATTATGTCTTGTGAATCCGGACTCCTTTATGACACGACACTTATACTCCCAGGAGAATTCTCAGATCGTTCAAGTAAGTCAGTGGATGCAGTTCTAAACTCCCACACGAGCAGGCCTACAGAAGCAACGAATTCAGTTAAACCTGTTTCTACGAGACCTTAAACAACCGAATTATTCATTCCACTTGCCTTAATACTTAGAGCTGTTGACCTGTCGACGAGGACTAAAAAAGGATCCTTCAAATGTAACCATCGCGAGACTAATTACTACGCCAAGGATAAGAAAGATACAACAATACAAACTTTAAAACAGTTCTATTGCATTGAACCGAAACCCAGAGAACTAAGGAAGCCATCTGCAAAAGATGTAGGTATTTTTAGACAGCACTTCATGGAAGATACACCGGATCAGTTGACCAGATAAAGGAGTATACACAACAACAGCATCCATTGGCTGTGAGCAATCTACCTGGAAGTAAACCTCTGCTCTATCAACCTATGCAACATACAAATGAACAACACAACCCTTATGACTACGATACAGTATTGGAGAAAATGAAACCATGGGTTTTTAGAGGAGCTCTAGAATGACGATCACAGAAAGATTTGTACGATTCCCGGAGTATCCCAGTGACTGCCACCGATAGGAAAAATTAAAGGCTTTTGCTTATCTCCTTTTCCGTGGTCTGTAATTCTTTCTTTTTGTTTCCGGCTGTTGTTTATAAAAGGACAAAATAATTATGTACACCTACTTATTTATTCACTCTCTCTTTTAAATATAACCCATCATTCACTTTGTTCCTCATCTCCAGGAAGACGTCCCTCTTTACCTTTTGCTTGAAATAGATGACTCACTATGTCGATCAATACTGTTTAACTATGGCCAACTCAAAAGAAAGCAATTTGCTACCTTTGTGAATCATCCCTGAAATCATACCATTTCTTGCTTAACTTCAAATGGTCATATTTTCACTCAACCTGAGAATCTATCACCCGATCTCCATCTCACAAGACTCTATAAATGGCAATAAATTTGTCAGCTCCTTAATCCGTATTATTAGTTTGCTGCCTACATATGAACTTGATCAACTGATTACAAATTCCTTTTCGTTTCTTGCAATTTCCTATCTAATTTAACCAACAACTTTTTGTTACTGTATCCTAGATTCATATGGTTAATCTAAAAACCCGAAGTTTTCAGAAAATCACTTCACAGAACTGAACCAGTGACTACCTGTTCGTTCTTTCTTGTAAAAGCCTGACAGGCCTGTAAAATGAAACTTTCAAAAAGTGTTTCTCAGTGGGATACAGAATAATTATAATATTTTTTCCCCAATAACAGTGTGCCACATAAAGCATGCCAGTTTAAATGCAAGACTAAATAGTTACAGATGCTACCACATTTACTGTAATAGGTTGCTTAGTTAGATTAGTATTCGTATTTTTTCTGCTATAGCACGTTTACTCCACTTCACCGAGATGAAGAGGTAGGTACTGCCAAATTTCAACAGGCGATAGGAAAAAGTGTAGGTACCCAGTGAAGTTTCTCAGTGGTATGTATAATTCAGGAGTAATTAACGAGACATTGTTTATCTTCATCTCACAGTCACTTTATCTCAACCCAACTATGCAAAAGGAGCGAGGGTGAAGTTATGGATCTGCAAACGTCCACAGCGGGGACGACGATTTCAATTCACCCATAACATCGCGTATCCTCGAACTGCCAGGTGATACGGAAGAAAAATTTTGTTCAACTGTGAACATCTTTGACATCCTCAATCCCAAGCGTCGAAGTCTTTCTTTGCATTATTTATTCTTTACCCTATTATCCCCTTAGTTGTTTATCTCTCCACCTAATCCTAGAGATTTATGTCGCTTTCAAATCGAGGAGATTCAATGAAACCATGAACATCAAGCTGATGCTGTGCAGATGCTTTAAAGAACGTTGGGCACAACTGTGGAGGGATTACACTAAGTTGTCTTCGCATGTACAAAAAGTTGCGTTAGCGTAAGATGCTTCACTGCGAAACTGTGGATGCTGAAAAGCACCAGCTCACATGCACTCTATTTACTTTGGTACGAGACTTTCTGTTCCCGGGGTAGTTTCTGATCCATGATAGTAGAGGATTATTGAAGCTGATCTTCTCAACCTTAGCAATTGGGTGTACTTGAGGTACTGTGTCCGGTAGCTTTTGGTTACAGCAGGTTTTGCTGCTGTCCCATTCCATGAAAATAGTGGACGCGCATGCCCTGTCTTCCGAAACTCATGTTGAGTTTCGTGGAGGATGTTGTTCTTTTATTTGCACTGTTCCATTTTCTCATTCGCCAGCCCTTCGATAACTTTTTACAATACTGGTAGTAATGCGACCAGTCTATAACAGGGTCTAAAGATTAGAGAGAGATTTGCTTGATTGCATCCAACTGGGAGTTGGTGTGACTGCAATGGATACGTGCGTGAGTGACATTACGGTGAAGTGAGGGCTTTCGTACACTGTTTCAAAATTATAGTGTGAATATTTTCACATGCTACTGAATATCTTGGACGCAGGGCTTTCCTTTTTTCACAGTTCTATTCTTAGGGTAGCACTCTGATTTTGTAGGTACCTGGCCGATGAAGTTGTCATTAAGGTTTGTGCTAGAGGTGTCTAACTCCAGTCATCTCGGTAATGTAGTTTTCAGCCATTAGACGAGGAAAATTAATGATCGTGAAGTATAAAAGAAGGGAGAGTTATGGCAAGATGACCTCCATAGTGGTTCGAAAGCCTGCTTCAAGTGACAGCTAGCGTAAATTTTGCATATTTTGTCCGTGAAATTTACCCGGACGACTAACCATTAGCTCGAGAGTTTCATGGACAGTCGTATAGGCTTGTATTTGGGTATTTACTGATTCTCTACTGACATGACATAGAATCTTTGGTTTGGCGTTTCTGACTAAGAATCAAAGGTTTTGTTTAAGTGAGGGACTCTGAAATGAGTGTAATTTCTTCGACATCTTATGACGATTCCTAGGTTGCCCTAATGGAGGGTGCTTACCTTTCGCTACCTTTTGCTTGGACATAGTTTATATGCAGTAATGCGCATTTAAAGCATTGTTCAGTATCCGTCTGAATGTGCTTCGTCATAGACAGTTCTACTTTCAAGTAAACTAACTTATGACACTGGAACACCTAATAAAATCAAAATTTAGTCAAGCGTCCTTGTTTCGAGAACCATGATGTGGCCATTTCCACTCATCTAATGCCTCGTATCCAATTTTGAAGGTGGTTTGTTCAAATAAAGTGAACTTTGAGTGAAAAGCATTGATTTTTGATAATACATATAAACATCGCCTTCAGACTTCGTGTGGGTATTGCCAGTTCTAAGATCGGATAAAAGATAAGGGTTTATCATGGGCTTAGCGACCCCGTCCAATTAAAAACTGAAAAGGACCGCAAGCACAAAAGCAAACAAGCAAGCTTATACATGTTTTGAAGCTGATGCGCTGACCAGACAGTACACCAGGTGGGTCAGTGGGAGCAGCCGTAGCAGTAGCTGCAAACTACTCCACGCACCCTACTGAAAGAATTCGGAGGAAAAACTATCGCCAAAAGATTGAAAGGAAGAATAAGTCATCAAGTTATCGAAGAACGGAGATCTTACTAAGCGCGAGAATCGCTGATAAATCAATTTTCTGTCACAGCCAGGAAGTCTCAAACAGAGATAAATTCGAGATCAAACTGGATTCGGCGTGCATCGATCGTGTACCGACCAAATCGAGACACTAAGAATCATTAATAAACAGTGGATTGTAATTCATCACTATACATCATCTCCCTTGACTATGAGAAAGAATTTGGCAAAACAGACATCTAACTTCTATGGTTTATTCGTCGATAATGTGAATTATATGAAAAGGTTGTCAACATTATACAAATTTTTTACTATGAACTACACTGAAAAATCGTCCATGGACTTCAGCCGATAGATTCACTCTAGGTGTGCACTGGTGTAAGATAGGGCTGCTTAGTCTCACTCTTCTGCTTTATCTGTTGTTTGATTGGATTAGGATGATAGCAACATCACAAGGTAGGGCCAGGGATGCAGTGGATAGACAGGATGCAGCTTGAGGGTTTGGACTTTGCAGATCAGTTATCTCTCTTTCCCTAAGTACTGTGTGATAAGTGCTAGTTACTGACATTCACTTATTAAACTATCAACGTTAAGCGATACAGAGGCCCAAAAGTCATCCCTTAATACAGTGAAGCTGGAAAACCCCAATGTTCAGTATCACTGAACACTACCAAACACCTAGAACCGTATAGAATGAACAATAAATCGAGCGCAAAGAAATCAGGTGGTTTATATTAGCTCACAAAGTAAATTTTGGATATTGGAAATATTTGGGCCGTTGTATATTTGAGATGAAGCGCCTGGTATAACTGTGACCTTGAACCCTGAAAACTCGAGGTATTTTCTGGTAATGTTGATCCTTGTCTTATTTCATCTCTGCATCGTTTTTGCCTTGTAGACTGTTTGTCCTAGATCACAAGCCTAACTGGGTTGTCTGTTGATCGAATAACTTTCGACTGCGTACGACACGACCATATATAATTATTTTGGACACATTGTTTGAAAAACGAATATTTGAACCAACTTACAATGGACGATTCTAGCAAACTGGGTGAATCTATTGCAAGTGGTGACACAGCCGCCTTGTTTAAGAACATCAGAGATTTAGAATATAAAGTATGCCTCCTTTCTTTCTAATTGCCATAAAACAGCTGGAAAAAAACCCTTTCGACTATAATGCACACGTACAGCTGATTGAGTGCCTACGAGAGGCAGCCGATTTCAAGAGACTGAAAATTGCTCGCGAGCGCATGTATGATACTTATCCACTGACTCCAGGTAATCTAAATCATTTTTTACCTGCTGAGTTTACTTAGCTGTTTCAATTTGCTATATTTTTTTAAGAGGTTATTTCGGTCATTCGAACTACTGCAGTTACACCGTAAACACGCTCAGCCTCAGTTTAATCATTGAAATAAGAAAGGTCTGTGCTTCTCTTACGAGATTAGAAATTACGTTCACTTACCATCATATTGTTCACCTCAGTCTGGCATGCCTTCTTGCATTTCATATAGGAAATAATATCGATACTATTCAGTGGTCTATGCATACATAGGATCGATCATCTTCTGAAGCTCAGTTATCTGAAAATTTGCTACTTTTCCTTCTGCATATTGTAGCCAATAAAGAAACTTTTTTTCGGGTTTCTGCTTTTTTTACAGCAGGTGAAAGGTGCTAAATTTCGTACCCAAACTCCTCCGGTTTATGACCACATTATCATTAAGTCTCTCATTTACAAACTTCAGCGTTGATTTCAGTTTGCATTCTTCAGTAGTAAGAATCAGAGGACAATCGACGTCTATTAATCCTATGTCGCTTTGAATATATCAGCACAAGGTGCTGACTTTTTGTGTTCTGGATGAAAATTCTTGTAATTCACTATTCGATGAGCGAGAAATGCAACTCCTAATGTGAACAATTTGATTTAGGTTTTTGAACTTCCTTAGAGTGTCCTTTTAGATGATTAGCCATTGATGTAAAAAAAGAGGTAAGATATGTTGTCCAGTGAGCAGTAGGTCAGTATTAAATCAGCTGATAACCTACGGTAAGATGATGAAAATAGAGTAAGGCGTCTCAGTTTGTCTTCGTGAGATAGGTTAGTGAGGCGTTCAACCATTTTGGTCATTGGCCATCTATCTCGTTGTAATATATCTGATTCATACCTGATACAAGGATTCACTGCTCGAATCCAATACTCTAAACGAGGCCTCACAAACGTTAGTTGTAGTACGCTAAATGTTCCTTCATATAAGTAACCGAAATGACTTATGACTAGACCATAAAACTCTGATGCGTTCGGTTACGACAGCCTTACAATCACTTGTAGTTCTAAGGTTGAAGATGAACGTGACTCCTAGATCTCTATTATCTATTAATTTAGGCGACACCATCTCACTTATTGTGTACTTATGAGTTGTCTCAGCTATTTGTAGACGTCACTACACTTTTGCTAATATGTGACTTCAATCACCTCTGGTACATCCATTCAGCCAGTGAATTCAGAACTTCGTGTAATATCATCCTGCATAGATCTTCAAATCCTTGTCGTGGGCAACGAGTAGAAACGGTGAATTTGCTACAGTTGTCTGTTCGACTGAAGAAAAGCAAACAGAAGAGGACAAAGGAATGGACCATGTAGAAGTCCACATTTTACAGATACCCTTGTTGATGAGACCTTATTTACCCTTCCTCGTTGTCTGCTTTCGCTGAGAAACTCAGTTATCCAATTTCCAATCGCATGATGCGTTTCAAAACTTTCCATTTCAAATTAAGACCTCGGTTAGAGACTTTGTTGAAAGCTTTATTTAGATCAATGACAATGACATTTACTGTCTTTCGCGTGTCTAATTTTTGCATCAGACTGATCTGAGTCCAACAACTAACTCACAGTCGAATCCCATCAAATCAGGTTTTTTCTTGGGAAGCTGTGATTGAGTGTAGTCTTGATTTTTAACTTTAGAGGATCATTGTTTGACTTACAATGAAGCCTTCAAAGACTTATCAACCAAACGTATACTACTTGTGGGAGTAGTTTTTTCATCTTCTAATTTGTTTCCGCACTTTCGTTCATTTTGTGTCTCTCTGGTGAGCCATATCAAGGCTGCTTTGGAGGGTGATAGCGTTTTCGGGTCTTCAAGTACAACTTCACAGTTGTCAGTGCAGTTACCATCAGCTTTCTTACTAATCACACTAAGAGACCCATTGCTTTCAGGATCAGTACTGTCCCACACAAACAGCAAAACATACAAAGCCAGTGAGAGTTAGGCTTTGAACAGCTTTTGTAAGTGGTGGGTTTCAAACGGTTACATTTGTCTTCGTGAGATACGTCAGTGGGGCCTTCCATCATTTTGTTCATTAGCCATTGATCTCGTAGTATATCCGATTCATACCTGAATCAAGGATTCAGTGCTTGAATTCCATACCCCAAATAAGGCATGGATTAGACTTTCAGACACCTAAGCAGTATATCAACCCATTCACAAATGCACTAACTTTTGTGACTCATGTATTTTTCGCTGCTTTTTTGTGCCACTAATTATGTTCAAATAAATAAATAGAAAAAATTAACCCAGGAATTCACGGTACTCACAAAAAAGCACAAGTAAAACTAATTCAAAAATACTCTTCTCTGTACTTTCATTGCATTCCATCAAAGCGAAACTACAACTTTACACGGTACATTAATCATAAGCTCAAAGTTTACTCAACTTTTAGATAGTGCACGCATCATTGATTCAAGAGGAAGATTTCGCAAGGTAGCTGTAGCTCTTCTCAACTCATCAGTGTTATAAACGTGGTTGTACTGAATTTTTGGTTTTCACAGCTGACATCGGTTACAGATTTTTGTCATTATCTGTAGTTCATGACCTAATACATTCTTTGGTGCATGATTACTGTTGCGTATGCCTAACCACCGACTGCCTCGTCGAGCCTTGTTTTGTAGTGTAGGAATAGGTTGGAAGAAAGCTAGGGGCGGCCAAACCAAAACATGGCAGAAATCCATGAAGACATTGACTAGTGGACTGAGCCATTGTTAGGATATTCACCAAATATCCTAAGAATACTATTTTTGGAACTGCAATCCTATTGGTCGAATTCTATTGGCCGAAATTATGATCGTTCTTACCGTCAGGGTCAAATACTTCAATGTTATCTCTTATTGGTCATCTGGACGCTCAATGTCATTCAAATGTTCTTTTCTATTGGTCGTCCTAAATTGTCAATGTCACGGACGTTGATGCTTTTTCTCATTCGACCTTAGTGTATGAATACGCGCCATCTGGAAGACTTAATAATTCCGTTTCCCCTGCCTACTTCTTCTGTTTACGACCCAATAAACATCTTCCTGCCACGGTGTTACGTTCTGATTTCTAGGAGATTTGGGAAAGCCTTTGGGTCGTTTTGTGATATTTGAATTGGACGCCGTTAGGACTGAAGATTTACGTAGCCGCGTTTACAACAGCCATGTCGGTAATTGTCGACTACCTGGTTGGGGTCCGCGAGATGATAATAATCGATGGTTATAGACCTTGAATGACATGGCTCAAAATCGTTCGCAATGGCGCCGGTGCATTAATTCTTTGTGTTCTCTCAAATCCTAATCTTCTGGATTCTTCAACCCTTCTAGTTTCGACTCTCTAAACTTTTCTCACTGAATCATACTTCTTGAATAGTATCTTCTAATTCTAACCTCTCCGATTACTTCTAATACCTTTACTACCTCTTCTACTATTGGATTTGAATATACAATTATATCTCTGCGCCAATGTGGTATGGCGACATGAACTGATGTACTTATGTACAAAGTTCAACGTTGCATCTGACTGACTGACTGACTGACTGACTGCATGATTACAGTTTAGTAAGTTCACCCCTTGCCTAGTCACTGGATTTTGCATAATTAGTGACGGTTAAATTTTCTAGTTTTAACTAGTAGCAGATGATTATGTCGCTTTTGATTTATATATTTTCATCTGACGTTTTCAGCAATATGGCTTCAATGGATCGAGGATGAGCTTAAAAACGCTTCTACACTTGAAGAAAAGCGACGAGTTGAAGTTCTTTTCAAACGGGCAATCAATGATTATGAAGGTCAGTAAATAAACATTACTTTTCATAAATTTGAGATTATTCTTGCCTTTCCAACTGTTTCCCGATACTTTTAGCATTGTTCTGCCTTAACGAACGCTTATATGCAACATTATTTTCGGGGATTATGAATTATAGGTTCTAAAGTAAAGCTAAAGAAGTTAGGATATCACTCTAAGATGGAAGTTAATGTTTGCTAATTGATAGCTATCAATTCGTCGGATTTACTTGTGGATATAACTTATGTAAAGCACTATTTCACATTATATAAAATTCATTTTGAGCAATATTTTCCGAAACTGTCAATATGCATCCTTCTAAAATATGGCATTAGGCCATAAATAAAAATCTAAACTAATTGTATTTTCAGTGTTATTATGGTACCTGTCGACGAGTTTTCTTGAAGGTATTTTGTTCAGTATCACTTGTTATCTAGTAACGTGTGCAACCCTCCTACTTCTGAAATAAAGGATAAAATCTCAGATCACCAATTAATTGTCTAAGTGGAAACTCCTAGCACTGAAAATTAAATTTTCTTAGTGTAGTATACTTTAGTTTGGCTAATTTCACTACTAAGGCAATGTGCTTCTGCACTACATGTGAATTACAATTCCCGTTTATTTTTCAATTCAAAATTCAAGTGGATAGGAACGTGTATGCCGTTAAAATGATCTATCTTCATATCATTTCTGTTAGTAAACAGGTAACAAATAAATGTATGACAAGTATAAAAAGATAGAAATCGGTATCGATCTTTGTAATTATAGTTTATTTGAAGCCCAAATTCTTTTAGTAACTCCCTCGACTAGCCTTCAATTTTTGGAGTATCACTGATTAGAAATTCTTGATACTTATTAGACTAGTCACTGACTACTCAAAAGATTGCTATCACTTCTCTAACTAGTCACTCTATGTTTACTTTCCCTAATGTAACTTACAGTTTCGATACCTATTGGCTCCCTATGTGACATGTGTTTCATTCGAAAATTGAACTCCAAATAACTCATGAGTTCTACTGCTACCCGACTATATAATTGGTGCAAGCATGGAGACTCAAGTTACTCATTCTAAAAATCCACGATCTAACAAACTTGGTTTTCTCCATACCTAACGGTAAAAGATTACAAGGAAATGTATGACAGAATTAATGTAAACGAGTTGATCTCACACCGTTTCATTTGTCCTTCCGTCTTAGTTTGTTGAGGTTTACCGAGTCCCAATGTTTATTTTGTACTATGGCCACTAATTAGAGGGTATGGACAGATTTTAAACCACAGAGAGATTATAACAGTGATCAAATAGAATTTCGATGTTTCAGTAAACTTTAGCGTAACAAATATTGTAACCTATGGTTTTCAAACTACTCAATCGAAGTTGTAACTTAGCTTGAAGTGTACATTATTGTAGACTCAAAGGAATGAAGAGTTTTAAGAAAGCATTCACTGAGAATTTATAAATAGTGAGTTGAATGTTTAATCGTATTATATGCTCCCTAGTCTAATCATGAGAACTATTAGTTGATAAATGAAATTCTGTACCTACTCAAGTATTTCATGATATGTAATTTACAAATGAATATTCAAAGTATATTATTCTATTGTAAATGACATCAGAAACTTTATTTCATTTTCTTGTAGATGTCAATGTATGGTTAGAATATTGTCACTTTGCAATCTCCACTTCAAATTTTGCTTCTTCGACTAGTATACAAGAAGCAGAAGCTATTTTTGAATCTGCTCTATCACATCAAGGACTTCACGTTGTCGGCGGTTCAATGCTATGGGAAATATATCGTGAATATCTCATGGTAGTTTGGTCTCAGCTACCACCAGATAATAAGGTCAGAGGTGTTCTTTTTTATTCCACGGAGAATCTAGTAGTAGTTGCTTATTTGTTTTTATCCCTTTCAACCCTTGATTATTTCACACTGGCTCATCTTTTATTTCACGATTCCTCCCTATATGTGTTCATAATAACTTATTGTTTTGTTTTAAACTTCCATGTAATCAGATGTATAGTTCTATCCGATAAACCTGATTCCTGTATGTGATCAACTTAAAGCTTTATGTAGAACAGGTGTCATTAAAACTCAAGAAGATCTACTGTACACGTACTGCTTAGGTCATCTGCTTGTGTAGGCGATAAACATATTTTGTTTATGACGTACTATTTTGTTAAGCTACATAAATAAATAGACGATGTTTTGTCAGGGTAAAAAAAACCGTAAATAGTTTACCGTTGCTGTCAAAAGTGATACAAATATCAGGCTGCTGTTAGTTAGCTTGACATTTGCTCAAACTTATTTTCCAATCGGATGTATATTTGCTTTGTTCTAAGTCATTTTTTATGCAACGGCCATTGGTACTGTCCTACTGCCTATAACTGTTTACTGAGTACTGATTAGGAAATCAGTAGCATAGTACGTACATTTGTCAACCTCAATCTGTTAGACTGAAGTATGTGTGAATGGCAATCATCGAGTAACAATTCCTTATGCTGTTTGTTCTTATTTAACTATAAGGCTCTAAATCAAGTGTTTAATTCTCTTTGTGATTGTTGCAGCCGACATTAGTGTAATAGTGCGTGACCGATCATCCTCTAGTCTGTAGATTTCCATAATGAGTCTGTAACTGTTTACTGAGCCTGAATAAAACTACTGATATTATTGATTGGGTTTAAGCAACTACGTAGTAAATATCAATCCTAGTAATGAAGTACCTCATCAATATGCTGACTCAAAATATCACAGTTTACAATTGATTTTTAATATTTCAAACAAAAATTTTTTGATGTTTTTGTTTAATTAGGAAATGAAACTAGAACAACTGAACAAAATGGACCGTTTATTTCGACGTCAGCTTAGCATTCCACACTTGAGTAAGCTATTTCTCCAAAAAAAAATTTATTAATCTCTCATATGTTTTTTTCCAGTTGGAAAATTATTTGTTCAAAGTTTTCAGAGTTATGTTCAAAGTATAAAAGTTTCAGCGTTCCATTTTCTAACTGGAAAGTTCTGCATCGCTAGGCCTTATTTAAAACCTGAAAATCACTTAGAGTTTTATAATAGTTCGCTTACATGAGTCATTCCTTCAAACATTAATCTTACTAATTAATCTTTTATAATATATGGACAACTATAGCGACTGTCTTCCAGTACTTAACTATTTCAATCAATAGTTACTGTGTGTGCTGTTAGGGATATGAAGGAGAGGATGTCACTTCCTGGCTGCTCACACTGACTAAAGGTAATTTTTAAGGGACCTGAAAAAGAAGTTAGGTCAGTGCTGAAGATTCTGGTTCTCCTAGGGAAACACCTTGCTACTGTTACACTTTTTTTTGTGTCATCTGTACAATTTTGCTCTTATACCTAAGGTTGCTGCTTTTAATCTTACCACCCTCCAATCAACCTACCTGGTATGGTAGGATCTTAAGGGACTTAGGCTTCAGCCAATTTATCTCGATTGGGTCATCATAGTAGTCAAGTCCGACCACCAAGTCAAGGTAGCAGCTACGTTCAGAATCACAGAGGTGGATATTTATCTAAACTGAATCACTGTTTGTTAATCGTATTCTGTGATGAATAGTATAAAAGTATTCAAACTCGGCTGGCTCAACTCAAGGGTCATGTTCATGAAGTTATTGGTTTATCTTCGAATTCCGGTAGGAGGGAAACTTTACATCGTTGGATAATCAAATTTTATGATATAATACTGATATGCTAGTCAATAGATATGCTTGAAACTATAACGAGTTCATCTTAGTCTGTAAACGAGAGCGAAGACAGATGATCCAGTAACACGATAGGCTACTCTAATTCGAGCGTCCCAAGGCCCCACCAAGTAGAAGAAGTCTTCATATGGCGTAGAAAGTGTATTCTACAAGCACCCAGAAAATATAGGGTTTTCAAGCACACAAATCGAGTTTGTTTATACATGATAGAAACGTGTTTGGGAGAACCACAAAAGTAGCGTTCTAAAATAACACATCAACCAATAACAGCCAAGGATTTTCCGAGTGGGAAATGTAAGGTGATGATCAACTGATCAGCCCATGTGCGAAAGAGTGAAATCCAAAATTAGGACCTTTATCAACTGCGTTCTGGGGACCTAAGGTCCCCAACAAATACACTAGACAAAAAGTATGACATCTGTTTTTGACCGCCTAAATGCAATACAATAACTAATCGTTTTGATCTATAAGTTCTATTTTCGATTGTTCTTCTTGACTTTTTCTAAGATTTTACTTTCTTATTCATTATAGATATGGAGCAGACACTAACTGAATATCAGAATTTCCTATCTGATATTGGTGTAGAATTGTATCAACCGAGAGAAAATGCAGATCCATTTATACCGGAAGAAATCAAAACAGAATATGAAAAAGCTTTGAAACGTTTAGCTGTTATTTTACCATTTGAAGAATCTGTAGAAGTAAGTTGTGTGAATGAGTTACTGTGCATCTTTAATATTAAGAGAATTCTTTATAAATGTTTATTGTTTCCATAAGCTAAGTAAATATTCTTCACGCATTACTTTATTCATAAAATTTTTCTCATTTTAACCTATTAGTGTACTCACTGATCAGTAAGTGGCGGTGAACGTTTCTAAGCCATTAATAACACTGCTCACGGTTGGCGTTATATTACAGACTCACGCGTATATATTTCTGATATAGTTTGTGTTGTAAGCTATAACATTTATCCTATTTGGTTACCGTCTTCATTCATGTCATAATTACATGCCAGTAGGAAAAATAAATCATTGTTTCAAAATAATATTTTACTGAAAAAAAAACGATGAAATGAAATGGACTAGATAATGGATATTGAAGGTAGTCAATGTTATTAGCTTGCTACACTCAAATAATTCTTAAAAATAGTCATTTTCATCACATGCAGCTTGTGGCAAATATGAATCGGATCATAATACCAGTCAGTCAGTCAGTTGCAACGTAGAACTTTGTATATGAGTATATCAGTTGAGGTTGCCATGCCCGATCAGCACATAGACGCAACTGTCGGTTCAAATCCAATAGTGTTAGATATAGTAGAAGTATTAGCAGTAATGGAGAAGATTAAGGTTCGAAGATATGATTCGAGATGTATAATTCAGTGAGATAAATTTAGAAAGAGAAAGATAGAGGTGATGAGGAATTCGGAATATTAGAATTTGAGAGAACGTAAAGAGTGGATGCACCTGCGCTATTTCAAACGATTCGGAGCCATGTCGTTCAAGGTCTCTAACCATTGGTGACTATCGTCTCGCGGACCCCAACCAGGTAGACTACATCTACCAACATGACTCAGTTCACTTGTCAGTGACTTGGTGAATTTGTGCCATGTTTTGGTTTGGCTGCCCCTATCTTTTGTCCAAGTTATTCCTATATCTCAAAACATAGCTCGTCGCGGCAGTCGGTGGTTAGGCATACGCAGCACTTGTCCCATTCACCTCAGCTGATGAAGTTTCAATACTTCATCTATTGACCTGCCATCCTTACCTAGTACCCGTTTCCTAACGACAGCATTGCTTACTCGGTTGTCCCAGGTTACAAGAGCAATGCTTCGGACACACTTATTATCGAAAACCGGTAACCTACGGTTATCTTCTACTTTGACTGACCATGTTTCGCAGCCATAAAGTAGGACGGAGCGGACTACTGTGCAGTACACCCTTCTTCTACTTAGCAAACGGATATCTCGCCTACGCCATAAGTGACGCAAGTTGGCAAAAGCCAATCGAGCTTTCTGTATCCGTGCTGAGATTTCGTCAGTCGTCAGGCCATAATCATAATACTACATTATATCAGGACAGGAAATTAATGTGAATAAGCTTAAAATCAAAAGAATCAGGATATAAGTACTAATGTTAATAACAATAAGTCTTGAGGATTGATACAGATGAATATATAAAAGGATGAATTCATCTGTGCCATTGTAATCGATTTAATAATAGATATATAAAAAAAGGAAATGTGAGTTACTCAGAAAATAACTGACTTTCATTCATGAAAATTCAGTAGAAGTATTAGAAACATCTAACTAATCTATTTATTTTATACAATATCTAATTTAATAGTTTTAACTCACTCAACAAAAACGAATTCAAAAAGTCCAATTTCTTAGACTCAACAAAATGAAAGATATCATACAATTCAAAACCAAATTAATGTTTACCAACATAGTATGTTATATTTGAAAGAATATGAGGGTTGCGTTCAGCATTTGGATTCTAAGCCATGGCGCAGGTGCATCCATTCCTTGTGTTCTCTAAAATTTTAATCTTCTGAATACCTTATCACCTCTGTATTTCTCTTTCTAAATTTATCTCACTGAATTATACTTTTTGAATAAAATCTTGAACCCTAGCCTTCTTCATTACCACTAATACTAGTACTCTCTCCACCACTAAGGGATTTGAATTGACGATTGCGTCTCTGTGCTATTGTGGTATGGCAACTTGAACTGATGTACGTACGTATGAAGTTCTGCGTTGTAACGGACGGACTAGGGTCACATGTCCGAATTTCGCTTCATCTACTGCCATCTCTGGCTATCACACTACATAAATTCTGAGTTATGAGACCTCAAATGTTTAATTACTGATACTATCTGTCGCTTTAATCTGACTTAATACTGTCTACTATTTCATAAAATTCATTGGAACTGTATAATTGGAACTTATTCGCTTATTTAAGCAATTACCGGTTTATAGTTGAGTTGATTTTTGTTATATTACTTCTCGGTTTCAAACGATATAGAGATTGTCTGCATGAAAATAATATTCGTTGTTATGACTAATTTTTGTAATGAAGCTTTTTCAAATTTTATTATGCGAAAATTTAAATTTTTTACGACATACACACATATTTTATTTAAGGAATCTGCTGATAAATCAGAAGCTGAATCTCTTTCCAGTTGGAATACGTATATTGATTGGGCAATTCATTGTGCAAAGCGAAAAAAGCCAAAAACATCCAAAAATACTGATAATAATAATAATAATAATAATAATAATAATAATAATAATAATAATAATAATAATAATGAGAATACTTCTACCAACTTTATGATATCACCTAATGAATTGTGTTGCCTTTTCGAGCGTGCTATTACTGCACATGCTTTAGATATATCTTTATGGATACGATATGCAGATTATGTGGTAAGTTGTTCATTATTTCAATTAGGTATCCACACTGTTCTGTTTGAGCTCATTGTTCTTATTAATACAAACTTCTAGTATATAATCAAAATAATTATTGGTATATAAACTTGAAAATTATTCAAGTAACAACAAGTCAGGACTATTGTGTTTTTTTAATATGACTTGAACTTACTAGCTAGCTGACCTATACATATATGTTGCATGTTGCACTAATTCAGTTTTAGTGAGACTGAGTAATTTGATGACTACTGTTATTTGTTTAGTTAATTGAGTGAAAAACAAAATATTTCTGTCGATGTTATCTTGTGTTATATGGATACTTACGTTTTCGAATAGGTTTTACTTTTTATGTCTTATGATTGTGTTGGTTATTAAGCAACTGCAACCCGAACGCAGCTGCTACCTTGATGTGATGGTCGGGCTTGCCTATCGTGATGACCCAACCGAGCTATACTGGCTGGAACATATGTTCCTGAAGGTTCTACCATGCTAGGCAGGTCGATTGGAGAACGATGAAACTAAAAGCAGCCAATCAAGGTCTAAGGCCAAGTGGCACTGCTGACTGCAGATGAGTTTGACAGCAGTAATGTGTTTCCCTCAAACAACCAGCATCTGCAGCGATGCTGCCTTCTCACAAGGAAGGAAGGGTTAGAAAAGGTCGACCCTAAAAATGTCACACCCTCACCTTACCTCACGGATTTCTGTCTCCGGCGTTAAGGGCTGCCCACAAAGGGTTTTGAAAAGAGCGGAGCTAATACTCAAAAAACCCTTCATCAAAAGGCCGTGCGTGACCGGCCTTAAGCAGTTGTTCCTTGGGCTCTGCGGTCACACTCTCAGGTCTCTAAGACCAACACTAATCTACCTTCCTTTATAGGTTCCTCACGAAACAACCTTCCACGGTGTGGGAAGCCGAGAAGTAACATCCGCCCTCATACCCGTAACACAGCACACGAGACCATTTCGGTCGCAAACAAAAATAGCAACTGCAACTTGTCTGTATTGAACTATTCACTAGGAATTAATGACTATAAACCCTGCATTTACACTATCAAAGAATATTCTTTATTTCAAGTATAATTATAAACAGTGTGGAGGGAAAATGTGCAAATACTTATAGGGTAACTAGGCATCAGTCCAGTTTAACGAGTATGTAAGTGTAGTGGTATCGTAAATCAAATTATGTTAGACTGTTCTGTTTTTGTAGCAGATTTTTATGTGTACAGTTACAAATTATGTTCTTCGTAGTGGAATGTTTATTCTCTTCGATTATGAAATTATTATGTAAACCGAAATAAGTGAGGTTGGATTTCATTGTTGAATCATCGTTAAAGTCAGTCACATTAGGTGGTTGAATTAACTGTATAAGTCAGCAGCCACTGAAGGAAATGGTGTTAAATATGAAGGGAACATTTTACAAATTATTATTTTGAAAAGATGTAGATTTTCATATATTACTTTCGAACCTTTCAAATGATTTTGCTATGTTTAGCCCCCTCTAGGACAATAAAATCCTCATAATTACCAAGAGTATCGAATCCGAAATACGCAGACTGCATGACTTCAGTTGTACTTTTACTTGCCACAGGAATTAATGATAGGAAGTGAAGTAGTTGAGAGCATTAATTAACCACTTACCGTGGAAAGCTTAGTACTACTAACCAGTAGGTTAGTTTTTAATATCTCAGTATGAATTCAGAAAACTCGGTTGACTTTTGGTGATTTATGTGTCACGTTCTGCAACAAATTTCTTTATTTCACTCAATATTACATTCTAAACACATGGATGCTAGGTGTGAATAGGCTAGATTAGAAAAAAATTTATTTTGTGGGATTAAATAAGATAACATTAACCTTCAAAATACGAGAATACGAAAATTCAACCCTCAGTGATATTTACTGATAGTTTTGTTATGCTCGTCAATTGATATGCTTGAAACTATTACGAGTTCACCTTACTGTGTAAACGTGAGCGAAGACAAATGATCCAGTGACACGATCGGCTACTCTAATCCGAGTGTCCCAAGGCCCCACTAAGTAGAGGAAGAAGTCTTAATATGGTGTAGAAAGTGTATCCCACAAGCACACAGAAAATATGAGGTTCACAAGCACACAAATCGAGTTTATTTATACATGACAGAAACGTCCTTAGAAGAGCCACAAAAGTAGCATACTCAAATAACACATCAACCAATGACAGTCAAGTATTTCCCGAGTGGGAACTGTAAGCTGAAGGTCAACTGATCAACCGCTACACGAAAACATAAAATCCCAAATTAGGATCTTTTTTAGGTGAGCTCTGGGGATCTAACGTCCCTAGCAGTTTCATACAGCCAGTCCTAAGCTTTTTCAAAGGAGTGTGGAATAAAGTGGAATTTATTTCATTTTACTGTTATCCGACCACTTCTCACAATAGTCAACCCACTTTCAACATAGTTTTATCCTCTGATATTTTGCAGGAATCTCAACTAGAAACAGATGTTCTACGTTTGCAAAAATTATTAGCTCGATCAGTTCGTAATTGTCCATGGTATGTGGAACTATGGCAACGTTATGCATTAGTCACTGAAAGTGTAATTCTTGAAAATTGCACAATCAAATCAAATAGCAATGGAGCCCATCCAGAATGTGTTTCCAATGAGTCGGATATATTTAAAGAAGTTGATGGTAGGTCACTTAAGAAAAATAAAGTTTGCTTTACTTCACTTTTTTTTCTGTATAACACGTAATGATTATATATTTTCAATTAGAGTTATGAAGATTAGTGTTTTAACACATTTGAAATCGTCAATCAATCATTGTTAGACCATCATTAAAAACCTGGAAGCACTGGACGGCCGTTTTGTCCTTGCATGGGACTCATCAGCAGTGCGCATCCACGACTCCTGCACATCGCAGGATTCGAACTCGGGATTTTCGGCATTGTGCGCGAACGCCTAACCATTACACCGCTGGGCAGTAATCGAAAAGAAAATGTTATTCAAGGAGTATAATCTGATGTAATAAACGTGAAAAGAGAAAGATAAAGATGATAAGGAATTCAAAAGATTAGAATTTGAGAGAACATAAAAAGTGGATGTTCCTGCATTGCAGCAAAACGCTGATATACAGCTTGTTCTCATATGATGACTTTGATCGAATGTCTTTAATTGTTTTATTATTACTTCATTATAGTTGTATGCTTATTCACTAATTCACTCAAAATTATCTTAAATTCATATTAGAATTGAATCTGAAAATAATAATCATCAAATTAAATAGTTAAATTTTCATTTCTAAAAACGTCTCATGCAATTAAAACATAGATATATGTGTATGAATGCATAGTGATTATTTTCAATAAATTCTCTTCAGATTCCACAAGTATTTATCGAAATTAGCTATCCTTAGAAAAACTGGCCATGTATGATAATAATAATAATAATAAGACTAGTGAATAAGTTAAATCTACGAAAATGTTGGACGAAGATTAATCAGTTGAGGTGGTTGGGACATGTGTTGCGTATGCCTAACCACCGACTGCCTCGACGGGCTTTGTTTTGTAGTGTAGGAGTAGGTTGGAAGAAAGTTAGGGGCGGCCAAACCAAAACATGTCAGAAATCCATGAAATCATTGACGAGTGGACTTAGCCATGTCGGTAATTGTCGACTACCTGGTTGCGGTCCGCGAGATGATAATAATCGATGGTTAGAGACCTTGAATGACATGACTCGAAATCGTTCGCGATGGTGCAGGTGCATTTATTCTTTATGTTCTCTCAAATCCTAATCTTCCGGATTCTTCAACACCTCTAGTTTTGACTTTCTGAACTTTTCTCACTGAATCATACTTCTTGAATAATATCTTCTAATCCTGACCTCTCCGATTACTTCTAATACCTTTACTACCTCTTCTACTATTGGATTTGAATTGACCATTACATCTCTGTGCTGATGTGGTGGTATGGCAACATAAACTGATGTACTTGAGTACGAAGTTCTACGTTGCATCTGACTGACTGACTGAGATCACTCTCTCGTCAAAATCATTATTCACTAATGAGGCCAGAAGTTGGCCAAAGTTAAAAGAGTCGTTAATGATATATTTTCTAGACACAATTCCGATTTTTGATTTAAACGGCTAGTAGTGCTTCAGCCGTCTGTGATATGTTTTGACGAGTTCACCTTATTCGACAAACGGAACGAAGATCAACGAACGATACAGTGACATGATAGGCTATTCTAATCCAATTGACCCACGCCCCGCTAACTACAGCATGAAGTCTTAATAAGTAATAGATAATGAATTCTACAGGCACTTGGAGAATACGAGGATGCTAAGCACACAAATCAAGCTTTTCTATACAATGATAGAAACGCCCTCGGTGAGAGCCACATAATAGCGTACTAAAATAATCCATCAACCAATGACAGTCAAGGATTTTCCGAGTGGGAAATGTAAGCTGTAGGTCAACTAAGCGTCTTTGGCGCGAAAACACAAAAATTCAAAATTTTAGAATAAAATCACGAAATTGGGAGCTTTTTCAAGTGAGTTCTAGGTATTTTACGTCCCCAACAGTCTGGACTATTCTTAACCTAATAGATTTAGGCAAATAGCTGCTGAAAATAATTGCTCTATGTTGACTGTAGGGCCCGTTTATTTGAAATGAACTAGAATCTGTCTGTTAATAGATAAAACTATGCTTTTGCTTAACCATACTGAATGGCGCTCATAAAACACCATTAGAAACCTGAAAGCACTGGACGGCCGTTTCTCCCTGGCACGGAACTCATCAACAGCGCAAATCCATAACTCCTTCAACTCGTAGGATTCACACCCAGGACTTTCGGTCTTGCGCACGAACGCCTAACCACTGGGCCGGCATTCAACGGTGTTAATGCCTAACTTTGATCAATCTAAGGATTTCGTGTGACTAAATTCATTTTTCTTCGTTAGTTACTGCCTACATCCAACAAGATTGATCTCCAATGGTCACGTCTTTTGTCACTAGAACTCTCAGAATTTCCTCACAAAGTTAGTCACTAGTAAGATCATGCATGTGTACTTCTGATGAGTCCCATACCAGGACGAAACCACCGTCCAATGCTCTAGGTAAACATTCAATATATATATATTCTTTTTTAGTCAATTTCTCTTTTGTTTCTATTTCTTTTTATCTATTATACAGGTATATATGAAACAGCTATAGCTGCAGGATTCACTGATCCAAATGATATATTGAAAATTTGGCGTAGTTATTGTGATCATCATTTGCGTAGACTTTGTTCATTAGAGAAGAATTCATTATCTTGGGGTAAAAATCCTAAAATTAATTCTAGTTATTTTTTGTGATATTTGATTTTAGTTTTTGAAACCTGTTTACTTATAGCAATATTCAATGTCTCGATGTAGTGATGCACTAAAGCTCCCGTGTTTTCGGCTGAATGGCACAAAATTCAACAAAGTGATTTGAAAGATATTATTCTAGTAGTTAGATTGCTTACCATCGAGATGTCTGGACTGGAAACAATGTGAGAATAATCAAATCTTATCGATTTGCACTAACAACTGAATATTATGACTTGTTATTACTAAATAATCATTGACTGTGTACATATTGAATGCTTACAATCGTGAGTTTTTTTTTTTAAATTTAGACCAGTTACTGAGATCTTGAGATCAGCGAAACAGGTGATTAGAACACTATAAAGAACTCTTTAATAAACCAGCCACACTAAACCTATCATCAGTGGTCGTAGTAGCACACTTTCTTATAGATATAACGGCAGTAACAGACAGATAAACAGTAGCAGAGCAGTAAGTTTACACAACGTACTAGCTAATGCTTTCAATTCAGAACAAGAGGTAACTGCAAAAATGCTCCACTCTCTCTTCATTAAAAAATTAGAAAACAGAACAAGTACTAACAGATTGAAATGATGAATAACTCATTAGTATACTGAGTCATGAAAACCTCAACATCCCAAGAAAAACATTTAATACGTTAAACAGATTGGATGCAGCTAGACAATTTTGACCTTGCAGATGATCTAGCTGTTCCATACCATACACAGCAACGAATGCAGATCAAGACAGTCAATGCAGCACCAGTAGGCCTTGACATACACAAAGGAAAAATCAAGATTTTTAGATAGAACCAACCAAATCACATTTGGAAGATGTGGTGACTTCTACATATCTTAGTAGCATCATTGATAAACACAGTGGATCTGATGCATATGTGAAGAAGGCATAGTTTGGCACGCAAGAACATCATATCTACAATTGAAAAACATCTGGACAAGCTAGATTCCAGCTTAGGAAGGGAAAACGCTGGCAGTGGACTGGACGCTTTTCAAAAATCCATAAGCTGATTGACAAGATAAACACTTACTTAATCCTCAAAGTTAAAGGAAAAGTGTTAGGATATTCATCCAACATCCTAAGAGAATTATTGGTCAAAATTATGGTCGTTTTAACTGTCAAAGTCAAATACTTCGATGTTGTCTCTTATTGGTTGTCCTGACTATCAATGTCACTTCAAATGTTACTTCCTATTGATCGCCTGAACTGTCAATGTCACAGAATTCGATGCTGTTTCCTATTCGACCAAACTGTATATATACGCATTATCTGTAACATTTTATGACCACGACCAGGACCAGGGCTCGGTCCCGGATCCCTAGTCCGGGATCCTGATTCTCTTCAGGATTCGGACCTCGTACTTTCTGGATGATTGTAGAATACATGTTCTTCTTCATATCAAGTCTTCTTATTTTTACCCAATATGGGGGTTGGGATAATCGGATTTGAGTAGTATGTCGTGTCACCGGATCCTCGATCCTAGTTCTCGTTTTCCGACTAGGTAAACCTGTAATAGTTCAAGTATAATCAAGTTGACGTGTTTACATGCAGGCGTAACAAAAAGTGACAAAAAAAGAACACATTGCGCTAGGCATTGGTGGAAGACATCGAAAAATGGATAACCCCTGGGAACAATTAGAAAAAAAACTGCTCAGAAGACACTATGTCAGCGACCTATATTTCACAAGGGATAACAGGCATAAATAAGTACAAAGATAATGTAAACTCTATTACAATATTCATATTTTCAGGTAAAATTAGTGAGATAATAATATTTAAAATACCAGGAATTTAAACATAAAATCCTTGAAATAGTGTTATCACTTCTATCTTTTCTGTGACTTCAAGCATTCACAACAGACTAACACCACTTAGTACTCTACTCATCAATGCCTAATTCATGTCATAGTTGTTAGCTGCAAATTCTTAATTAATTTCGTTACCCCTATTTCTTTTTTTTCTATAGAATATCGACTATCATTACTTCGAGCAACATTTAGTCGAGCTATAGCATATTGTTTTGAATGTAAGTGTCTAAATAGTATTTTTTTTTTAAAGTGATAATAAATATCTATTTCATTGATCTTCTTTTTTGATAATATCATGCGATAATAACGATTTGCCTATTTGATAGATAATATATTCTTTTTTTTCTTGAAGTCTTAGAAAAATTACGCAATGACAAATAAATATACCACACTCATAATGAATCCAGTACATTGTAAGCCGGTATAATATGTGTAGCCAGACATTGTGTGCATATCGGATTTAGTTCAAATATGTATAGTCGATATTGATATCGAATTATTCAAACTGTTAATCGATACAGCTAGTCAAATAACTATATGTGTAGATGGCAAGTAATGCCCAAGCGTGCATGCGCATACAAGCTCAACAATGATAAAAGTACAAGATATACGTGAGGTGCTACATGCAAAATGTCAATTTCCCTGATTGTTTTCGATAAAAATTAAGTCGTTTTAAAGCAGGACGTGTAAATATGATGATGTCTGCATAAAACGTCCAAACTTAGTGGGTGACGTGCAAAACTATCGCAATCTATACTATAATTACCCTTTTCCCTCTCTCTTACAATCCGTCTTAACAGCGGATAAGTTTTCTGTGTCACTTAGTACCAAGGACATGCAAACCTGCAAGTAGAACTTATAAATAAGGAAACTACTTTTTTATTTAAATTGATTGTAAGGTCAACTTTCAGTGGACTTTTTTCTCCATAAATGTCAGTCAATGTCACCAATATATAAGCAATTGATATAATATATAGTTTTAATTCTATTGAGTATGAAAAAGACCAAAATGACTTGTTTATGAGATAAGATTATTCGAAATACTATTTAATCACGATAGATAGTGAAGGAATACTTATTATCTAGTTTAAATGTCCAGTTAAATACATACTGTTTTCAGCAACATCGAATATATCTTTATGTCAGTAATTGGATCCCAAGGGACAACTGCTTGAGCCCGGTCACGCACGGCCTTATTATGAAAGGATTTTTGAGTATTAGCTCCGCTCTTTTTAAGGCCCTTAATGGGCACCCCTACCACCGGAGACAGAAATCCGTGAGGTACGGTGAGGTGTGACATTTTTGGGGTTGACCTTTTCTAACCCTTCCTTCCTTGTGAGAAGGCAGCATCGCTGCAGATGCTGGTTGTCCGAGGGAAACAACATATGTTCCAGCCAGTATAGCTCGGTTGGGTGATCACGATAGTCAAGCCCGACCACCACATCAAGGTAGCAGCTACGGTCGGACAACGGCTAAGAATAATTGCAAAAGCAGGTGAATTGTAATCATATGTACCAGAACATATACTTTCGCTCATTTTAAAACAGAGGTTTTCTAAAACTGAAAAACAAGATGAAATCTCTATTAAAATCAATTTATCGGATATCGTTGGAAGGAATGGGAGCATAGGGATGGATGACTGATGAAAGTATTTTACTGCAATGTATTAGATAATGTTTGTTAGTAAACTTTTTTCGACCATTTATCAAAACGTTTCAATAATCGCAGTCAATAGTGTTCAGTCAATGGTAACATCTCTGATTATGATGCTCAGTGGCACGGGATTGAATCTACTCATGTACACTTTGCTGACATGTGCCAAATAGCACGACCTTTATTCATTTTCATATAAAATGCCTTAACAAGTAAGTATATTTATATATGTATGACCAAATTGTTCGAAATATTCAGAGCTAATACATCAACTACATCTTCTTCATTGTGTTCAATCAATTTCTGTTTATAAAAGGATTGAATTTTTTTTTTAAAAAAATATTAATTTTAGCATTTTTAAACATGATAAATATTTTATAGCTATTGATTATTATGATTTTTTAAAAAGTTTATTTCTGTGTGTAAGTAAGTAGTCAGTTGTACACATATAAAATTATTGAATTTGCTTTTAATCATTTCCTCTTTATCTTCTCTGTTTTTATTGATAGTAATGCATTCTCAACAATCAAATGTCGATTGGTCACTTTTAACTTATTATGCTTTTATTGAAGTGAGTTTAATTGTATTTGTATTTATATATTTTATTGTGAACAAACTAATGCGAACCTATTATTGTTACATGTGTTTGTGTGTGTGTGTGTGGGAGGGGCGAACACAAAGCAGACAAGTCTACTTTGTGTCCTTTCATAGGTTTAGTAATCGAAGTTGTAATTCTCTTACTCTATGAAGGCGGCTACATGTCACATTTGATGATAAAATGGTAAATTGGGAATTTTGATTGGAACGCGCATTGAGAATTTGATGTTTTGAACTTTTTCTTTTGATTCAAAGTTAGGTGTACTATTAGATTCATTAATCTGGTCTTTGAAAAATGACCAAAGTAGTTCAAAGTGATGATTATGACTATTGTTGATTGTACTTCAATATCATGGATGAATACTAGAATGTATCAAATTGAAATGATTAAATTTCATGATTCCCGAAGTGATCTGTAAGAAATTGAAACAGACAGATACAACACAGAACTTTGTACATCAGTTCAGGTGGACATACCACATCAACACAGAGATGCAACTGTCAGTTCAAATCCAAGAGTGATAGCAATATTAGAAGTATTAGCAGTAATGGAGAAGATCCAGGTTCGAAGATATGATTCGAGAAGTATAATTCAGTGAGATAAATTTAGAAAGAGAAATTCTAACCAGAAGGTTAGAATTAGAAAGAACACAAAGAGTGGATGCACCTGAGCCATTTCAAAGTATTCTGAGCCATGTCATTCAAGATCTCTAACCATTTGTGACTATCGTCTCGTGGACCCTAACCAGGTAGCCTACATCTACCTGGTGGGGGTGATCAAATTTAAGTACAATAAGAAATAAAAACTACAGTACATTGTCAAAGATTCATGAACATAACAATAAGGATTCATTAGTTTTCAATGTGAACAGGAGAATAGCGATAAGATAGAAAAGAAATAGTTAAAGTTAAGAAAAGGTGCGAACAGAGCATAGTTAACATTTAGACGATTCAGAAGAACACAATGTCTGATCATTGTCAGTGTGTAACTGTTATGTTAGTCAATTGATATGCTTGAAAATATTACGAGTTCACCTTCGTCGATAAACGAGAGCGAAGACAAATGATCCAGTGACACGATAGGCTACTCTAATCCGAACGTCCCAAGGCCACGCTAAGTAGAGGAAGAAGTTTTGACAAGAAGTAGAAAGTTTATCCCACAAGCACCAAGAAAATATGAGGTTCACAAGCACACAAATTGAGTTTATTTATACATGATAGAAACGTCCTTGGGAGAGCCACAAAAATATCTTACTAAAATAACACTTCAACCAATGACAGTCAAGGATTTTCCTGGTGTCAACTGAGCAGCTTATGCGCGAAAGCATAAAATCACAAATTAGGGCCTTTATCAAGTGAGTTTTGGGTATCTGACGTCCCCAACAGTACCCGAAACCTTTACCATGAAATTATCTATTCTGGTTCTGAGTAATTTTCTCAGTGAATGTTATATTTCACTGATGTATGGAACTTTAGTGCTTTTTGTTTTGTGCTACCTATGACTCAGTAAACTAATTTATAGCGACGCTATTGAGTTGAAAATGGTGACTTTACAAACAAGATTACTCTATTTGATATTCTATAAGGGCCCAGAAATCTCTTAAAAGTCTTTTATCCAATCAGCGTTGAGTAGAACCTTAGTGGTAGCATCTTGATAATACACAATCACGTGCTACAGTTTTGATTGGAAATCTACCTATTCATCTTCTATATTCAACATAGTTCCCAATGCCTAAGGTCCCGTTTAACTCAATAAGTGCTATCCACTTCTGCAAATAAACCAAGTGCTTCTTTCACACTTCTCACCTCTTATCTTGTGTTCAAGTTGTCTTGTAGATTTAGCATGAGATTGTTAGAAGCGGCTAGGAGATTGAATGAAGCGTTTATAAAAAGACTTATCAGTTAATCAAGACAGAAATCTTTTTAACTCTACTTTTCATGCTAATTAGAGACAATTACCAGCGAACGTATGTATCTTTTGAGACTTAAATATCTAACTTGAATCACATCTCCTACTTCAAAATTACTAATATGGTCAATCCATTATTGTTAATATCTGACTTATCATGTATGCCAACGTTATGATTTGAATACTGCACAAACATAAACTTGATGAGTTTAAAGCTTACTATCACTACTAACTTAAACATTTATTTATTGAAGAGATTGTGGTCAATATTCAATGTAAAATTTCAAAATTTTGAAAGTTTCAGTTCTTTTTAATAAATAGGTTAGTAGTACACAGATTGCACTTATTGTTTTTTTCCATTACATTTACCAGGCAAAGTATAATGAAGATAAAGAACGTGCACGTTCTGTATGGACAAATTTATTGAAATTACCGGGACATGGAAGTCAAGCGGTATATTGGATACCTTATATTCAATTTGAACAGTTAAGTATCATCATCATCATGAGGCATTTCTAATTATTTCTCTCTCTTAAATGTTATTTAGTTTTATGAATTGTTGTATTTATTTAAATGATAATGATGATGTTGATGAATCGTCATCGTCAGTTACAACGTAGAACTTCGTACGTAAGTACATCAGTTCATGTTGCCATACCACCACATCAGCACACAGATGTAATTGTCAATTCAAATCCAATAGTAGTAGAGATAGTAAAGGTATTAGAAGTAATCGAAGAGGTTAGGATTAGAAGATATTATTCAAGAAGTATGATTCAATGAGAAAAGTTTAAAAAGTCAAAACTAGAGTTGTTGAAGAATTCAGAAGATTAGGATTTGAGAGAACACAGAGAATAAATGCACCGGCGCCAGTGCAAACCGTTTTGAGCCATGTCATTCAAGGTCTCTAACCATCGATTATTATCATCTCGCGGACCCCAACCAGATAGTCGACAACTACCGACATGGCTAAGTCCACTCGTCAAGCTTGGTGTCAGGAGTGGGATACGAACCCACGCTCACAGAGTGAACTGCGAACTGAACGCAGTTGATGAATAGACTAAAAGTTACCGAATATCTTTTTTTCATTAAACGATCATTATTTTATTTTTGATTAAGTAAACAAGTTGAAAGTTGTAATTAGTTGTATAAAGGCTAAGAATATAACTGGAACCACCATAGATTTGGCGCGTTCCAAATTCACAACATCACTAATAAAACAAGAGTTGTTCATTAAATCCTTCGTTGTATTTGTTTTTTTGAAAGATATCTAAAATGTTTGTCTAAAGTGGACATTCGATTACTAATTAATTCCTTAAAAGATTTACAAACTGTTGTTCCTTACTAAATTGAAGAAAGTTTTACCCTACGCGTAATGTTCATTATTATTATTATTATTACTATTATTATTATGTGAGACGATAATAATGACTTCTACGAAAAGAAGTCATCGCTATAACTCAGTGAACAAAATCACAAAATTATGATTATTAGTTTTAAAAATGCCTTTGTTATAATCATTCATTACAATGCCATGAATTTCAGAATAATATTCAAAGAAACTTATGTAGATAAATTTACATAGTGTAGTTATTTTAAACTGTATTGTTCCAAGCCTTAATTTATTTGTCATGGACTATAGTAGTCAGTACATTTTACTCGTCAATAAAAACATATTCTACAGATGTGGATTCCAGACTCTTCACATTGAGAAAATGATCTTCCATTTAAATCATAAATCAAATCATTGTTAGACCAGAATTAAAAAGCCGGAAGCATTGGACGGCCGTCTCGTCCTAGAATGGTACTCTTCAGCAGTGCGTATTCAGGCCTTCCGTTCATGGGAATCGAACCTAGGACCAGTCTCGCGCGAGAACGTTTGACCTCCTGATCACTGACTGGGCACCCGAAACGTTTAACTTTAATTCGATCTAAGGATTTTGTGCAGCGTTCCCCATTGTCTTCAATAGTCACTACCTACACCTGACTAGTTTGAACTTCAATGGTCACGGCTTCTCACCATAACTCAGCTCACGAAGCTTGTCACTAGTAAGCATAGTATATGATATTTATTATCATATTATGGAGATATACTTGTTTTCCGTTGAAATTAAGAACCAATCATTGTTAGACTAAAAAAAAAGAGTGCTTTCTGAATATTTCTATTGTAACAATGTTATTGAACTCGAAGTTCTTATATCGTTCTTCTTATGTCTATAGTGTTATGAATTTGAGTTATATGAATCGGGAAAAAAAACACGAAGTTTATATATTTATACCTGTTTCCTTTTTCATTCTATCGTGAATTATTTTTTTTATATAGGAATTGGGGTGATACGAAACATTTATTACGAATATGTGCTATGGCTATTAATTCAATTAATTTTGACCAATCAGAATTAATATTTCAAGTTGTTTTACGTGCAGTTGGTGAAACTGGCGTATCTATTAAACAATATCGTGATATTATAACAAAAATACATGCACGTCGTGCTTCATTATTAGAATCTGTTAAAGATGTTCAATCTGCAAATACTTCAAATACTCAGGTAGATAATTTTGAAAAAAGAGTGCAAATGTTATTATTCATTGTTCTCATTTCAAGCGAGTTTTTAATTGTTTTAAATTGTTATTTGAATTCACATATAAATAGAGAGGAAGAAAAATACTGTATACAGTTATAAATAAATTGTCAGTTTTTATACTTGAATTCGGGTGTTCAATTTTAGCTAGGTTTACGGATAACTGTTTTTTCGATAACGTTTAATTTATTTATCCAAATAGTTCTTAGACTTCGGACTGTATAACGTAAAACTTAATTTTGGGTTTTTAAAAATTCACTGTTATTAGGAAACGGTTTCTAGGTAAGGATGGCACGTCAATAGATGAAGTAATGAAACTTCATCAGTTGAGGTGGTTGGGACATGTGTTGCGTATGCCGAACCACCGACTGCCTCGACGAGCCTTGTTTTGTAGTGTTGGAATAGGTTGGAAGAAAGTTAGGGGCGGCCAAACCAAAACATGGCAGAAATCCATGAAGTCATTGACGAGTGGACTTAGCCATGTCGGTAATTGTCGACTACCTGGTTGGGGTCCGCGAGATGATAATGATCGATGGTTAGATACCCTGAATGACATGGCTGAAAACCGTTTGCAATGGCGCAGGTGCATTAATTCTCTGTGTTCTCTCAAATGCTAATCTTCTGGATTCTTCAACCCCTCTAGTTTTGACTTTCTAAACTTTTCTCACTGAATCATACTTCTCGAATAATATCTTCGAATCCTAACCTCTCCGATTACTTCTACTACCTCTACTACTATTGGATTTCAATTGACAATTATATCTCTGTGCTGATGTGGTGGTATGACAACATGAACTGATGTACTTACGTATGAAGTTCTAAGTTACATCTGACTGACTGACTGACTTCGTTGTAGTATTGTTTGGACAATTTTTAAGTGTCTAGTATTCGCCCTGCTCCTACTAAAAGCATCCTGGGTAATTATTTGTCAAGTTTGATGTCAATGAATAAAAACTGCACGTAGTATTAATGATAACTAATGAAATATCGGATATACTGTATAGTAAGGAATCCATATCACACTCTTTAGGTTGAAACTTTAATTATTAATCAATCAATCAATTAATTATCGATTCTACTATCTCAACCATTATGGGATTTGAACTGACAATTGCGTCGCTGTCCTTATATGGTAATGGCAATCTAAATTTATGTACGTATGTGTACGTATGAAGTTCTGTGTTTTAGCTGACTGATGGACTATGAGTTATGGCAACTAGTTTAAATGACATCGTATCGTGGTGCACTCTCTGAAATTCTTCTATACGTTTGAAGGCAGTCTGCGGAAATGATCTACAACTATTTATCTTTCAGGAAATCAAACCAATTCTCATCTTTAAAGTAGTTAAACAAACTGACATTGTTTTACAATGATATGCTTCAGTTAATAATAGTGTTAACTTAATGACTTTTAGTTTTCTGAAGTTCGAGAAAATACGTACCACTTGATGATGATGGCCATCAATAGGTAGGAGACTTTTACAGAAAGTTTCGTATCGACTGATCATTATTTTAAAGCTCAGTAACTCAGTGAAAGCTTTTGCACTCGTTTTTGGTTACACGTTTTTTGTTATGACGTCTAGTGATACTGTAATGAACGAAAATGTTAAGAACAGATTGAAGGAGATTGAATTTACTAGCGAAATATGCTCACCTTATCCTCAGACCTCCGTTGCATAACAAGAAAATCTTGGCTGTCTTCCTTTACACATTCCTTCTAATCATCCTCCAAACACTTTGAATCGCATCATACATCCGGATCGGACACTCGATTGTATGTGACTTGTAAGCCACGTTGCGAAGTAGTACATTACCAAAATACTGCCTACTTACCTAACCCGTGGTAGATAAAACCTGGTTTGAACTTGTAATCTAATAACTTTAACCCAAATTTTTTGACCACTCTATCAAATTTAATGATGAAAATGGATGCTGGCTCAGTGTTCAAGAGACTAAGCGTTCGTGCACGAAATTGAAAGTCTTGGTTTCATGAATGTACACTGTTAATGATTCCCTTACTCAGACAAAACGGTCATTCAGTGTTCAAGGTTTACAATAGTGGTTCAACATTGACCAGTTCATGATTTAAGTGAAATTTAAATAGTTTTGTATGACTAATAGATTAAAAATTTTCAAAATATCAGTTACTGTTCAGGTTTTGTATATCTTGACCATGGTTTATTAACCAACATTTTATTATTATGAGATGGTGGAGAAGATTTGTAGCTCAGGTGGATGATTGTGGTAGTGTTTGGTTCTCTCAACTGGATGTTTTGGTTGTGGAGCTTTCATTGTTCTTCTGAAGAGTACATAGGACAAAGTGGACAGCCTCTTCAGCTTCGTTTACTTGAACACCAATTAGCAGTCAAATGCCACGACAACGCTTCGCTTATATCAATACCGACAATTATGAAAATAGATCAGATTGGGACAATGTGAAAATGCTAGATAGGGGAAGGACCAGTAACACTAGAGAATTTTTAGAAGCTTGGCACTCAGGTCAATAAGCAATCAATAAACACATCGACGTTGACCCAATTTACCAACCAATCAGGAAAATCATAGGTGACATAGGATCAAAAACTCAGATCAAAAGAGGGATTCAATCAAAACAAAGTTGCAAACAACGACAGGTTTAAGGTCAGCAGCAACCAATCAAGATCGAGGTTAGCAGAACAAGCTACAGGTCAAACGTGGAGAAATTCGAATGCTTCACTTTTATCTGAAGTTTGTGCTGCTGATATTGTTCAGAAGAATAATGGTGAAAGCTCCACAACCAAAACATATCCAGCTCGGAGAACCAAACACCACCACAATCTTATTATTACCTGATATCAATCCAGTAAATCCAAACTGTTAATATCTTTTCTTTTCATTTTTCCTTTTTGTAGATACCAGTTAAATCAACAGAAATCAAATCGTCTGAATCAAGAAAACGAAAACTACCTAATCAACAAAATGAAACTACCACATCGAAACCAGCCAAAGTTAGTTTACCGCTTGTTGTTTTACGATTTTCGAATATCTCTCTCTCTCTCTCTCTGTACATCAGTTTCATAGTTTACGTGACCAAATAAGGCGAAGTACAACATATTTCTATTTCATACGAATAATGATTATTGTCTATGTGCTCGAGTTTGCATTAGCGGTGCATTCAGATAAGGGAATGTGAGTAGAGTTAGTTGTGGAGAGAAGAGAGATATGTGTGGGAGTAGGAAGGATTTGATTGTGACCAATTCGGTCTCGTGTGCTGTTACGGGTATGAGGGCAGTTGTCACTTCCCGGCTGCCCACACTGTGGAAGGTTGTTTCTTGAGGGACCTGAAAAGCAAGATAGATTATTGTTGGTCTTGGAGACCTGGGTGCGTGACTGCAGAGTCCAAGGGATAACTGCTTGATGCCGGTCACGCACGGCCTTATTATGAAAAGTTTTTTGAGTATTAGCTCCGACGTTGAAAGCCCTTACTCGGCACCCGTACTCAAGGAGACGGGAATCCATGAGGTAGGGTGAGGTGTGACATTTTCAGGGTCGACCTTTTCTAACCCTTCCTTCCTTGTGAGAAGGCAGCATCACTGCAGATGCTGGTTATCCGAGTGAAACACCTTACTGCTGTCACACCTCTCTGCAGTCAGCAGTACGACTTCGACCTAAGACACTAAGTAGTTGTTCTCCAATCGACCTTCCTGGTATGGTAGAACCTTCAGGAACATATGTTCCAGCCAATATAGCTCGGTTGGGTGATCACAATAGGCAAGCCTGACCACTGCGTCAAGGTGGCAGCCACGGTAGTGCCTCAACTAAGGTTACAGTGTTGCATTTTGATTCTTTTCGCTTTTAAATTATTACTTTTATAATTCACAGTCATTTGTATTAATCGGTTTTTTGCACTCTTAGTATGATAACTCTTCACTTCTAGCCTGTCACTCTGTTTAATGATTAGATACTTAGGAGTTGGATTGTGTTCAGATGAACTGGTTTGCATATTATATAAATGTAAAAAGTTCATTGGTATTGTCGATGTTTGCAATAGGCTACTATCAACTGTTTCCTGTAACAGACTGATAAAACAATTAAAAACTCTTAAAGTAATTCTGTCATTAATGAATCATACTATAGTTGTTGTCCCACTTACTGAATATAAATTTTTTTATTTTTACCTATAGCCTAAATTGTTAGGCATTCACGTAAACACGTCATTTGATATGCTTGAACTATTAAGAGTTAAACTTAGTCGGAAAACGAGAGCGAATATCGGGGAACCCGCGACACGACAGGCTACTCGATTCCGAGTGTCCCAAACTCCCATTGAGTAAAAGAAGAAGACTTGATATGAAGTGGAACATGTATTCTACAAACATCCAGAAAGTACGAGGTCCGAGTCCAGAAGAGAATCAGGATCCCGGACTAGGGATCTGGGTCGTAAAACGTTACAGATTATGCGTATTTATACAGTTCAGTCGAAAAGGAAGTAACATTGAAGTCTGTGACGTTAACAGTTAGGACGACCAATAGGAATGGATCAGTAGTAGAATTAGACTTACAAAAAATAATTCTCTTATGATATTCGATAAATATCCTAACATAAATTTAAAAACATTGTGACCGGAATAACAGTACATAGGTGTTTTTTGCATAATTTTTAAAACAATTAAACTGTTAGACTGGACAAATTATCATACTGTCAGAATCTTGCTATACCTATGGACTGATTATACTACTAATTACTACTTAGTGAATACAGCTCAGTTGTGGTGCGCGCTACTTATAAGTAGTATATAACGCGAATAAAAACGTAATGTCTGGCAGCAGAAGATGGGAGAAGATCAAGAAAGGAAGAGCGGGAACACAATGGGATTTGTATGAAACGCATGAACAGTGAAATGTCAGACAGTGGATTGATGTTTGTAATAGGAACAGTCCAGTTCGATATGATGGACTGATATTTTGCAAATTAACGGTTTACGATGTGGTGTGTTCCTATTTTACCAATTAACTCTGTAATGTGAGATAAATACAATTCGGTTGCCCTCACCTGTGTTCTCCTTCACTACACAGTGATAACACTTGTAACTTCGTCTCCATTGATTGTTACTGAATATTAAAACCTTAATTAGCCCTTGTCTATTACTATTGCTGATTCTTTTCAATGATTGGAATACAATAGGCAATGTCAACTGTAAACTCATCTTGTAATCATCTTTCCCGATTGTTGATTTACGATTAGATGGTATATAGTCATTATAGTATTCTTGTTGTTAACGTTTCATCTTAAATTGACATTTCCACTCCAAATTCAATTTCCTTGTTTGTTTTTTGTCTGGTAAAAGGTATCAAAATCGAATCCTACTTCACATGGAACATTTGTTCCACATGATTCATCTAAAAATGAATTTACCGTATTTGTAAGTAATCTGGATTATTCAGTCACTGAAGAACAAATTCAGCATACATTTGAAAAGGTGAGTTGTAAATAAAAAAAAATTAAATGCGAGTTTTTTTCTTTTTCCAAGTGGTTGCTTGTTCAATCAGTCAGTCAGTTACAACGTAAAACTTCATACGTATGTACATTAGTTCAGGCTGCCATATCATATTCGCAAAGAGAGGCAATTGTCAGTTCAAATCCTATAGTAGTAGAGATAGTAGAAGTACTGGCTCGAAGATATCACTCAAGAAGTATAATTTACTGAGATAAATTTCAAAGGAGAAAGAGGTGATGAAAAATTCAGAAGATTAGAATTAGAATTAGAGAACACAAAGGGTGGATGCACCTACGCCATCACAAATGATTTCAAACCATGTCATTCAAGATCTCTAACCATCGGTTACCATTGTCTCGTGTGCCCCAACCAGGTATTCTACATCTGCCAACATGACTCATTGTAGTTGTCAGTGACTTCATGAATTTGTGCCATGTTTTGGTTTGGCCGATCTCTAAATCACAAATTATCTCTCATCGAGGCAGTTGGCGGTTGGGCGTACGTAGCACATGTCCCAACCACTTCAACTGATGAAGTTTCATTACATCATCTTATTGATTTGTCACCTCCACCTAGTGCTCGTTTCCTAACGACAGCATTGATTACTCGGTCGTCCAAGGATAAACGAGCAACGCTTTAAAGACATCTATTTTCGAATACCAATAGCCTACGAGTATCCTCAACTCTTACTGGCCATATTTTGCATCCATATAGTAGGACGGAGCTTGTTAATTTGCATACATCCCGTATGCAATTTTGAGTTCAATAACACCATAGCATTACGTTTTGTTCTAACAATGAATACTTACCTGCTTGATATTTCGGTGTTCAATAGTATTCTATTTCATCGAATGTTAAATCATTGAAACGATATTGTACATGTGACAGCGAAGTATGGATTGTGGGGATGTAATTTCATGGTGGTGACTTACTTACACCTATTACCTTCAGTGGAGCATAGATCGTCGGCCAGCATTATATTTCACCAAGTCCAAAATATGACAAAAGGCACGTCCTGGATTCCACTGCTAGACAGACTCTATCTATTGTATATGAAAATTATAGTTCATCCGTTGAAATAGTTAAATTTGTCAAATTTCCTGTAATGTAAGCCACAAATTTCTATCTACTGTGGTGTGAGCTACTTATAAGTAGTATATGACGTGAGTGTCAACGTAATGTCTGGCAGCAGAAGATGTGGAGGAAGATCAAGAAAGGAAGAGTTAGAAGAACACAATGGAATTTGTATGAAACGCATGAACAGTGACATTGGATTGATGTTTTGCAACAGGAACAGTCCAGTTCGATATGATGAACTGATATTATGCAAATTAACGATTTACGATATGGTTTTCCAATTTTACTGAGTAACTCTGTAATTTTCGTTAAATACAATTCTCGTTCACTACACTACTACTTATTAAATGGAAATTATTATTATTCCATGATAAAGAAATTCCTGGTAAACAAAAGTATTTCTATACTTTTTTAGGGGGGAATTTAAAACTCAACAACAATCTAACCTATTCATAATCATCTACTTAACTGCTTCTATTCTTGAATTATCAGTTTTTTTTGTTCAATTTTCTAAATCAACTTATCCGAATTGCTAATTATTAATTGATGACTCCATTATCAGAAGCAACTAATTCTCTTTCTCTCTCTCTCTGTGTATGTGCGTGTGTTTTTTTTTGAATGATAGTGTGGAAATGTCACATCTGTTCGTCTTGTACGTGATTATGCTGGTCGATCTAAAGGATTTGCTTATGTTGAATTTGAAAATAAAGAATCTGTAAAAATGGCACTTACATTAGATAGACAAGGAATAATTACACATCAGACTGTAGAAAATGATGAATCAGGTGATACTGTTAGCCAAAAACAAAATGACGCCGAGAATGAGGAGGGGAAGCAGGAGGAGGATTCACCAGCACCGATTACTTATAGTCGTCCAATGTTTGTTTCAATATGTGATCCAAGTCGACTTAAAGCCGGTGGATTTAAATATACAGTTGGTAGAAAAGAACCTGAAAAATTATTTGTTCGTAATTTAGATAAAACTGTAAAAAGTGAAGACTTGGAAAAATTATTCAAACAAGTTAGTTCAAACTGATTTTGATTTATTCTTATGTTGTAGTAGTATAATAATGTGTTTTTCCTTTCATATCTTTCCATAATTGAAATTTCAAAAGAAAGTTTATTGCATGAACTTGAATAATAAATATGTAGATAAGTTATGCATAGATCTATCATAATGAATTAATTCAGGCTACAATGTGGTCAGATGAATAATTTCCATTCTGGAAATACTCTACTCACACTTGCTTCCCAGATCGATCATGTGGCGTTGAATACTGCTTGTATTCGGTTAATTCATGAAACGTCAGATGATTCTTTCATACTTACTCGATACGTCAGTACCTCAAAGCAGTATTTGAATCTTATGTAGATCTCTTGGTTAGGACAGGTGTTACGTTTACCCAACCGCCGAATGCCTCGACAAGCGATGTTTTTATGGTGTAAGTGTAGGATAAATTATACAGTTTCTGAGTGGGATGAATTAGATACTGCCGTGTGCCCAAATCGAAGTAGGCGGTTTCTTTGGGAGACCACTCCAAGATTCTTAAAGCTGCAGCTTTAATCCACTCTTCAGTGAAGCGACGTCAAGAGACCCAGTCACGTGGTAGTCATTGATCAAAAGTAGATTCCTATGCCATTTTTCCCCTGACAATCCTGATGCCTATTAGTTTAGAACTAGGGTTAACCAACTCCTCTAGCTGGATTCTCAGTACCCAATAACCTGGTTTAAGTGTTGGAAATTCGCTTTTCGTCCTCTCGCATTCGTAGACCTCCTCGCCAAGAAAAGTCAGTGAATAGAACTTCTCTGAAAATGGTTTTATACGCCTAACCGAATGCAAACATATCTAGAGTGGGAGCAGACTATCCTTACCCTCCGACGTACCAGGGCATTTGGGGATTGGTTTCTTGACCTCATGCTTTACGCCTAATATACACTGAAGTGAGTGGCCGCCACAACACATCTGGACTAATTGACTCCGTTGTTATTAGATGGGATAAGAAGTAAGTTGTATTCATTGAGTATTGTCAAACTGCTGGAGACTTGAGATACCCAGAACTCTCTTGGAAAAAGTCCTAATTTTGGTTTTTTTTATGTTTTTACGCCATGAAATGCTTAGTTGACCTACAACTTACATTTTCCACTCTATAATTCCTTGCCTGTCTTCGATTTATGTATTATTTTAGTACGCTATTTTTATGACTCTAAGTAGGACGTTGCTATCAATGTATAAATAAGCTCGATTTATGTGCATTTTTGACCAGTAACAGTACACTATTCAATTTGGCAAAGTCGTTAATGCTTACATAAAAGGAATAAACCATATAGCTGCAACTCTCAGCAATAACGTTTCTCTTCTTATAGCAAGTTATTGGTTGACTGGTAACTGCTTAATTTTTAACTACTAGAAGTCCTCTATATGGGTTTAGATACACAACGTATGTCACTGACAGAAGATTCCGAAGTCTTAACTGGTGAAACCTTTCCTTCAATCTCAGTGTGAAGGAGTCAGTTAAAGAGTAATAATACGACTAAGAGAAGCACCATTTTCGGACTGATTGCATTTTCAATGATTTGAGTTATTTGTTGGGAACATCACTCTACCTCCACACCTCAGTACTATCGGCAGTATGAACTTACCTTCAAATCTTTAGTTTATTGCTTATAGCTTACAGCTATCTATACCGCTTCCTTTTAATGGTGAGACCTCAAATAACCCAGGTGAACTCTATACCACTATACCAACGTAGCGGTTTCGGTCACATCCCATACAACTTAATCGTCAATTTTTGGTTTTTCATAGCTAACTGACTTATATTAATTTTTCCTCCTTTTTTTAGTATGGAAATATTGTGAGTGTTCGTCTGGCAACATATCGTAACGGTGTACCGAAAGGTCATGCCTACATTGAATTCACTAATGCAGATGATGCCAGTAGAGCATTAGTTGCTACAAATGGCCTGGAATTCAAAAATAAAATATTGTCAGTATCTATTAGTGAACCACCTGTACGTGGTGGAACTAGTTCACAAAACAATAGATCCACTGCAGCAATGGAAGACAAAAACGTATTCAAAACACCTCAAACTATTGGCTTGAATAGTTCCCGTTCCGTCGGAGCTAGCGTGTACGTTGTATCAAGTGATAACGTTTATTGAATTATAATATTTTTTTTCTTCTCAGTGTAATAGGCTTCAAAAAATGAAGCTGAATTACACTTTTTTTACTAATTGATTTCTCGTTTTGTAACTTAGTTTACTATTGTTGATTTTATGCATATATATATATATATATATATATATATATATATATATATATCCGTATAATTTCTCATTTTTAACTACTGAAAATAAATGTACATGTTAAAATTTTCTCTTCAAACTTGTCGAATTCTTGAAGGATGTATATTTTACTTCCAGTATCGGTAGTGAATTCGATTAAATATGGATTATTTAAATTAGTATGTAGTCCATTACCATAACTTATAGGTGACAACTTCGACGGTTACAAAAAAAACGATACGTTAAAAACAGGTCGTATGCTAAATTTCCTACTCCATGAAATAATAGATGAATAAATAAACGGGTAGAATCAAAGTGGCTATCCATGCTGTGTAATGCATGACTTTTAAAGTTAATGATGTTCACAATTGTTGAGGATGTTAGATCCCCAGAACTCGGTTGATAAATGCCTTATTTTAGATTTCACGTTTGCGAGCATGGGCTGATCAGTTGACTTTGAGATTAAATTTTCCACCAGGAAAATCCATGGCTGTGATTGGCTGCTGTGTATTTTAGTGTGCTATTTTCGCAACTGTCCCAAGGACGTTTCTATAGTGTATAAATAAACGAGGGTTGTGCGCTTGATTGTATTGTGATTGCTGGGTGTTTGTAGAATATACTTTCTACGCTTACCAAGACTTCTTTTTACAGCTTGGGATTCAAGGTAATCTAACTGGACGCTGGTAATTGTCTCGTTCGCGTTTATCGACTAAGGTGAACTCGTAATAGCTGCAAGCATACCTAGTGACGAACATAACAACAATATTATCCAACTCACTCAAGGATTTAAATAGTACGATGTAACTAAATCGTATGTAACGACTACAGATAGGCAACATGTCGCTTATTTTTTTATTAAATCAGTCCTCACCTTGACGTCCGTAAATCTTTGATAACCTTTGAGTCTGCCATTGCGTTTTCAATACATCAGTGTCGGTAACTGTTCATGAAATTAAATTGACTAACATTCGTCTTTTTTTAAAACAAGTTGCATACTGTTCAGTTCTGTTGAACACTTAAGTTAGCTTTCTAATCTGTCAGCCCTAATATCATGTCCATAAACTTAGTATTGAAGACAATCAGCGTTATCACTAAAAGCTTTTATTTTTAAAATGAATCCAAGAGATGTAGCAAACAAACGTAGAAAACTCATGTATGTCCATAACTTTTAATCTACCATCACTATTTTGTTTACAGAGTTCTGAGAACATACAACATGTATCTGGTAGTTTTCCTTCTCTCATAGATTGTGTATATTTCATTTACTCTTTTTTGTAGGCGGAAATCACGAACACAATTGGAATTCTTGCCACGTGCGGTTCATCGAACACGTGAGATTCAAGATCAAGTGTCAGAAAATACCGTGGATAATGAGACTCGTGACTCTGAATCGCCCACTGTTACTGGTACTAAGGATAATGAATATTTCCGTAAACTATTAAAATGATTTGAAATGCTGCTTAAACTCTTTCCTTCCCTTGTAAATTAATAAATATCGTTTTATATAATAAAATATGATAATTTCTTTATTGGCATCAATACCTTATTTTAGCCTTCCTAACTTCTTTATTGTATCTACATCTAGTACGAATTTCAATGAGATCCTTTTTTATGTCGTTACTTCTACAAAGGATAACTGCTCATCATAACGATTTAACACTGTAATTATAAACTAATGAGTTATTGTTTCACTGTGATAGTTGCTCAGCTAGAGACGTTCTTGTTTTTTATTTCATTCATAAATACTGGGATCTGATGAATCTCGAACTGCTTCTGACGTTATGTGGATGATATGCGTGACCGCATTTCGGAAACCATTATAGCTTTGAGGACGTTTTCAAAAATACACTTATAAATCCCATACATATGACCCAGAGATATCCAACAAGCTACAGTTGACCCATAAATTTGTATCGTCTCTAATTTGTACAAGAAAGTACAAATTCAAGAAGAATGATGCCTCTATAGTCCTCACACTTGCTAAGATTGCCTTTCTTTGGCATTTTGATGAGGTATCCTTTTTTCCAATCTGATGGTACTTGTTCCTTATTCCAAATCTTGTTGAAGAGAATGCGGCATAGTTTTGTATTTGCTTCCACGTCTGCTTTCATCGCCTCTGCTGGAATGTTGCCTGGTCTTGCTGATTTGCAACTCTTGATTAATAATTGAGAGGTCCGTGGATGCTGCTTCGATGTTGGGTGTGTTCAGTGGAGCTGGTCGATTCAAGAGTTCCTTAAAGTGCTCCACCCACCTATTTCGCTGTTGTTCAGTGTTGCTGATTACTTTGCCTCCCTTGCTTTTCACTGGTCATTCTGGTTTACGACAGTTTCCGTCAAGCTTCTTTGTTGTATCGTACAATTGTCTCAAGTTTCCTTCTCTTGCAGCCTTTTCCGCCGTCATTGCTAGATCTTCCACATATTTTCGTTTGTCGGCTCTGATGCTCTTCTTCACTTCCCTGTTTGCTTCTGTGTATTCAGCTTGTGCCTTAACTTTCTCTGCTCTTGTTCGGCTGACATTGATTGCTGCTTTCTTGTTCCTCCTTTCTTCTATTTTTGTGAGAGTACCAACAGACATCCAATCTTTGTGATAGTACTTCTTGTGACCCAGAACTTCGTGACATGTTGAAGTGATTGCCTCCTTGATCCCTTTCCAATTGTTCGCCAATGTTGCTTCCTCTCCATTGAGTATATCGTGCAAGGCCTGGAACCTATTGGTGAGGGCTATCTTGAATTCGTTGAGTTTTACGGTATCCCGAAGAAAGGCCGTATTAAACTTCTGTGATGTTGTCTGCCCCGTTCTTCTCCTTAGTTTCAGTTTCATTTGGGCGGCCAGCAAGTGGTGATCTGAGGCTGTATCAGCTCGTCTCTTGGTTCTCACATCTTCAGTAGTCCTTCTGAACCTTTAATTGATGCAGATATGGTCGATTCGGTTCTGAGTAGTGTGATTCGGTGAAATCCATGTAACTTTGTGTATTCGTTCCTTTCTCCCAGTCCATGTCGTCCCATGATGTCTTCATATCCAGTGTTGTCCATGTCAATGCGTTTCGCTGATTCCAAGCACCTCGAGGTTGTATCTTTTCATTTCTGCCGCGAATTGAAGTAGTCTTCCAGTCTCCCACAATGTTCGAACATTCCATGTACATGAAAGAATGATTGCTCTGGTTGTCAGAAAAGGCATTAGCCTGGTGACCTCCGAGGGAACTCGGCTTTCATCTCGCGACGTCATAATTCTTCTTCCAACTGCCAGAGCAGAGTTAAAATGGTTTGATTTATTTTTTGTGGTTAGCGTTTTTTCGGCAAGTCAGTTTGGATGAGGGCGCCAACCCCACTTTCTTCATCTGGGCTTGGGACCGGCAGCAGCCCCGAAGTTTCTGCTATCGGAGTTTCGCCTAAAGTGTAATGTACTTTTAACCTCTTCAAACAATGTGTGATAATAAATTGGCTACTCAACGTTGTAGGTAAGCGTAGAAGAACCGAGGAAAACTATGTATAGTTGAGACTGTTGATTTCAATTCTGATTCACCTGACCGACAATAAGCTATATCGTTTTTTCGGTTTGATAAGAAAGGGGAGTTTTGTGGTATCATGGACAAAATTTTGCACACATTATCCGTATGGATAATTATAACCCTGCAACCAATCCCTACATGGTCAACCCAGAAGAATCAATTCGAGGACATATTCTGCATAGGAGCAGCAACACGATTATCTTCCTACACTGCAGAAATCTTAGTAAGCTGGCAAAGCATGATAATTCTGAGAAGCGATAGGGAATATAAAGGAGCAAGTTGTATATCGGAATATAATAAAGCCGGAACACCATGCAGTACTGAGATAACTGAAGCGACAGAATCACGCCAATATCGCTACAATAAAAACGGTACATTAAATGCCAGAAACTCGTGCCCTGTGGGTCTGAAAATTGGTCCAACGAACTTAGAGTTAACTCGGCTTTTCGATCTCATCATTAATGAACATATCGATATCTCAAAACCTGCAAACGAAAAAGTAAATTTCCAGTCTGTTAACGTAAAGAGCGAGAGTAACGGAGGCACACGAGGACAAAACTTCAATATGTAACTGAACACGGGTTAAGGAATGGCAGATCTTGCACATACAGTCTTGTGATAGCATGTGACAGCTTGAAGTCTTACTTGGATCAAGTGATACTGGTTCATATTATATTCCATGACCTCACGTACTGCTAGTTGCGAATTTTTCGAAAATGGGTTACATTGATCCACTTCTATCTTGGCTTCGAGAATACCTACAGACCAAAACGTCCACGCATGCTGGTGAGATTCAGAATTAGAAGTTTTATAAAGGACTACCTTAAGCCCACTCCTCTGCCTCTTGTATACTTATTATTTGTTAGATAAATTCAGATCAGCGACCTCACTCTATCCTGAAGGTCCATCAGTAGTGAGCTATAATCGGACCTTTCAGCGATAAAGGAACGGACATCGAAAAACTGGTTAAAACCCCAACTGTCAAAAAGTCACATCATGAATATTCTGCACCGTGTGACATGCATTACTTATATCTTCCGTGGAGGTCTGCCCCCTTAATTTATCTTCAGAGCGCGACCCTGGTCTTTTAACTACGTCGAGTTTGGAAAACAAATCAAACTGAGTAGTGAAGGCTTTTCAGACTAACGCAACTCTTAACTCCACGTCTGTACAATTTCGTGCAGTCACCTTAGAGCTGTGCTTCACTTTCATTCTAAACTTATGCCTATACTCACGTTGAAGTTCACGGATTCGTCACGCTTCTCTCTCTCTAAAAAAGAAATAAATCTAGGTCGAGTGCGGACGTAAGCAACTAAGTGGGCCATGTGTTAAAGAACAAAGCCAGACCTCAACAATCGGGATTATTACAGCCGAGCTATAGGTGAATCATAGGTAATCTGATAATGGCATATATAACATTAAATGTCTCGAGGAGTCACCCCAACACGAGCTTCTTACAAAAACATTACTACCATGCTCCTAGAGGTACGCGCACACATCTTCTCACTAAACATTGTTGCCACTCAGAATTCTATCTCATCCGAACTAATCACATCCTCCTCAGTGGGTGGCTTCAAGAAGAGACTAGATGAACACTCACCCAAATAAGAATTATCGTCTAGCGCTATACTAGCTGCTCTTGATCTGTCTCGAGTTTTTTCTTTCAGATCATTAACTTATTTTATCTCATTTATTAATTCGGTTTCCGCTCGTTTGCTTGCACTTCTATCCTCTCATTTACTATTCTCCACCAATTTATGAACTTATTTCTTTACTTAGTACACAAATTGCATTAATACCAGGACTCTCTCTTGATTATTCTCCATCTTGAAACTAACTGATATCCGGTCTATTAATTTGGTATCTGTTAGTATACGGAAATCCTACAGTCTTGAGACAAACCTCATTCAAATGAAGGAAGATGCAAATTCATAAATAACTGCCAAATGACTAGAACTAGTGCAGTGGCATGACTATACTACCATCAGCTGGACATTACCAAATACCTGAAACCGTAGTGTAAAAACAAGGAATGAGCAAAAAGAAACTGATCGGTTTATACTAAATAACAAAAACATGTTACACAAGGCATGCCAATATATAGGAAAGTTCGAAATGTGAAAATTGCCAACTTATTTTCTGTAAATGGTTGTTCAGTTACTTCAATATTTCACCAGATACATTGGCTTCATATAGAGGGCTAAAAGTTTCCACATAAAATAAATAATTTTCCAGACTTAGCAGTGTATAATGGCATATTTGGCGCAAGTTACGATGAGACAATGGCTAAGAGCCAATGCTAGATAAATCCAGGTCAGCATATAACAAGAATTGAGGAGGTCAATGTGCGAAAATCTTGTTGGTATTCATCAGAGATTCGTCAACTTTGAAGTTGACGAGTCCATATCAACCTCCTTCAAATAACAGGAATTAATCCACTTTTCGACTCCCAATATGGACATTAAACATTCCCGAAGATATAAACTTTATCTCCATTCATTGACAGACGGTCTGAGTAACAGTTTAGGTACATTTAATCATTCTAATGCAGAAGCACATTGGGTGGGCCTAGCTTTCTTGGTTAACTACTATCTTCCTAGTTGCTTCATCAGCGCATACACAATCGCAAACACTGAATCCAATTTTGGTTGGCTTTCAAGTTTTATTCTTGCGTTGTATTTATTTACTGAATTTCAATATCATTATTCTCCTGCTTGAAAAATTATATTTCGCGTATCTTCTTCCCATAATTTTCTCCTTTTCCTACCTATCCCTATTAAGTAACATGTTCAGTGGTTATGTTGCAACCAGTTTTCGTACTTTGACAACTTAGAGTTCTTAATTACGGGGTTAGTAGTAAATCGAAAGTCTCAGTTTCAATCAATACAATCGTAGGAAAACTCAACGTTCCTCAACAGTGAGCCTTGAAGTAATGTACATAACTAGGATCACTCAATCAAATCTCATCCACTAGGTCTTAAACTTTGAAACCCATACGACACTCCTTCTCAGATTCCTGTTTCTTA